GAAAGAGGAATGGTTTTGAGCATATCACCTCTTTAAGATCTACTCTGTGAAGGAAACCCTAAAAGGCAGTTGGTTCAGAGCGCAGGGAAGCTTCGCCGACGAGGGCTATCCGCTTTCCTTTTCCCTCCATTTAGGAAGAGGGAAACGTTTTCAAAAGAAGTGAAAATGCCTTCTCCGTGGCGCTTTTTTTAGAGAATGTGGGGGGCGGGGGGGGGGGATGTTTTTATTCCTTTTCCCTCCATATATATCACGGTGCAAGTGTGCTAAATAATCGAGCCACGAGGTATAGCTCGAGCTTAAGCTCAAATTTGAGTTTGTTGATTAAACGTGCTCGAGCTTGAGCTCATTCCGGCTAGGCTCGTTGGTTAGTGATCCAACTCAATTAGCCTATCACTAATCATTTTTGATGTATTTCGTGTCGAGCTCCCACTGCCTCCTCTTCCGACCACCACTACTGTCGTCGTGACCTCCGTAAAAATTGAGTTCTTAATTCGAGATCGCGAGCCCGCTTCTACCAGGACGACCGAGCTCTAGCTCAAGCCAGCTACTACCAGTACAAGCCCAGCTCGAACTTGGCATGACTCGAGCTCAACTCATTTGCACCCCTCACCTTCACACAAAAATGAAACATCTATTTCCTTACTATTTATCTTTTCTATTTAGAAAATAAAATCAGGAATAATTTTGAAATTAGTAACAACCATGCTTCAAAATCATGTCATCTTCACTACAACATAGATAGATAAATAATGTTTTTCTCTTTATTTAGTAATACCGCTAGAGAAGATTAGGAATTGAGAAACTTATAAATTCATTTCCAATGATTAATAGGGAAAATTATATCTTTTGAATTTTAATTGATAATAAGAACATAAACCAGCTGATATATCATACTAGAAGCAACCAGATATGCTAGTAGCATGATTAATCATACAAAATCTTTTCTAATTAGGTAAATCAGTAATTCTCTTGACACAGATTAGTCGAGTGAATTAATGAATGTGATTTGTCGGTGCCAAGAAAACAATAAAAAAAAGATAGCCATAAGAATGAAAATTGACAGCAATTTGTGAGATGCAATTGTTGTTGGGTGATTGTACGAGTCAATTGCCATAAAGCAATAATAAATATATAATGATGATGGAGGCTTATGTTGGCGGTCTTTGATGTTAAATGCTGCTAAGCAATGATTGTCATCATCAATTCTTAGTAAAAAAAAACTCATGTAGATTTGTTCGCTCCACACAAGGTTTCAATCATTTGTTAAATTAAGGTATATTTTGTAATTTCTTTTGTAAAATATTTTGGTTATTTTTTCAATTCTCAAATGCTCCATCATATGCCTCGAAAGATTTTCCTTGAATATCTTTAAGAAGGGCTCGATAGACTATTAGCTCTTTCAAAGCTACTGCATGGGTGTGTCTTTGATCCCGGAAAATATAGTTGTATAAAATTTATAAAGTTGACTCTGTTTTACAATGATACCAAAATTTTGATGTGGTATTTTATGAATAATAACATTAAGCACTTAATGTTGTGATTCTACGCAAGTATACGTATTATTATCAAGTAATATAAAACTTTCTATTTGAGTCCCAAATATCGATCCCACAAGGAAGATTTAAATTTGAAATGATAAATTAACTAGGAAATTCACAGAAATAAAAAAAAAATTACTGTTACTAGTTTCGAATGTTTGAGATACTATGAGAACTAAATTATTAACTACTAGTAAAATTTAAATACAAAGTTTAAAATAGTAACTACTAAACTATGTTTATGTAATGAAGTTTTCTAATATGAAAAATCATTTTTCCCACTACAATCAGTTTTTGGTGAAATGAGATGAAATAAATGGTTTAAATATGTATTATGCCAAATAAGAGCAATTTTAATTCTCTACCCTGATTCAGTGTTATAGAAAATTATTAGCTAATCTTAGGTTTAGTCCCTAAATCCGTGGCTAGGCTAGAAGGATACTAGCTCCCACTCCAGAGCTCCCACTTCCCTTCCCATGAAAACTAACTCTCGTTTTAGTTCTTAAACACTAAGATCGAATTGGGGATTTTAGTCTGTCACCCTAAAATCTCCAATTCTACATCCAACAATGTATATTTCCTTATTTATTTGCACTTAATTCCATGAACGAAATACTCCTTCATGAAATTAAATGTGATCCTCACTCTGTTGTAAAACTCATATTATATTTTCAGGATCATATGTTTCGCAACATATTTTAACAATTTAATTGGTCAGATCGAAAAGTAAATTAAGAACGGAGTTGAAAAGCCACCACAACTGGCACATCCACATTATTTCTTCATTTCACCATATCTCAAAGTAGGAAGAAAGATAAAGGAATCTACTCAGACTTCATGAGAAAGATACAACAAAACACAAATTTCATATACATAAGAAAGTTCATACAACAATAATAAATAAACAACACTTATCTGAAACTCTTTCTCAAAGAAAATCCTTTGTAGCCTCTAATAGGAAATGTAGGAAGAAGAAATCTCTCACTGCTCTTCCTCTCCAAACACTCTTAGAGAAGAATTCACACTTAAACTAACTACAAAAACTCAAAATTATAAAG